CGGTTGCCTTGGGCCAGCCGTAGGTAGTGGAGCTGCAGCGGCAGGGCAGGGTTAGGGTCAGCGCCCACGGGCTCCCCGCGCCTTCCCCACCCCAGGCCCCGCCCACCTCGGGCTCCCCGGTCAGCTGGTTGGTCTGGATCAGGATCGTGCCGATGCGGACGTCCTTACACACGGCTCGCAGCGCAGGCTCCATGGTCTCGCCCGCCCTCAGGATGGACACGCCTGTGATCTGAGGGAGGCAGGGGCTCCCTGGTGACACTAGCTCCTAGTGCTGGCCTGCCTTGCCGCACCCCTGCAGTACCTGCTTCCCGGCGTAGCACTTCCCGGCGTAGTCCTGCCCCTGAGGCGTCTGCACCACACAGTCCTGCAGAGCCCAGGGGGTCACGGCAGGTCACGCCCGCGACCCCAGCCCACCTGGAAGGGCAGGAAGGACAGCGCAGCCCCCAGCCCAGCCCCTCCGCTGCCCCTGCCCACCTGGAAGGGCAGGAGGGACAGCGCGTGCTCGATGAGCAGCCGCATCAGCCTCTTGGAGTAGAAGATGAACTCGTCACGGCTGGTCTCCTTGTCCCTACGGGGCAGAGCCGGGGACACCATGCTCCTGTGAGGGCCCACAGAGGGCAGCGTCTGTGCGGCTCCCCACCTGACCACGCCCACCCCGCCGCCGGCCCTCACCGGATGATGGTGTGCATGCCCCGCACCTGCGGGGTGCTCTTCAGGACACTCAGCGTCCGGGGCAGAGGGTGGCACTGGTGTGCAGAGGCCAGCGCAGCCCTAGAGCCAAAGCCAGCAGAGCTCTGAACGGGGGTCCTGTCCCGGAGCCCCCCTCCAGGTTCCCCACAGGGTGGTTGCACCACTGGCACTGTGGGGGGACAGTGAGAGTGCAGGGGCGGGTCTGGCTGCTGCCCTGTGCTGACCTGGGGAGAGGCCCGTCAGCCCCCACTAAAAGCATCAGGCCACCAGCAGGAAGCCAGGCAGCAGAGGGCTCAGGCACTGATCATGGGTTTCAGCCCGGGACGGGACGGGCAGCTTGTCCCTGCCTCTCCCAGGAGGGCCGGGCCCAGAGGTGGACTGTAGCCTCTCAAGAGGGGGCAAAGATGCTGGGATGCCCCATGACGAGGAGCGAGGGAGGAGGTTCCAGGGGCAGCCACTGGAGGTAGCTTGCAAGAGGAGAGGCAGGTGTAGGTGTTGGGAGGGGCTGGGTAGTGCTGGGAAGGACAGAGGAGCTGGGCAGGGGTGAGGCCTAGTGGAGCAAGGCAGGGACTGAGCAGGGAGCGCAGGGTGGGTCGGGGCAGGCAGGGCCGGGCAGGGCAGAGCAGGGTGAGGGCGAGCAGGGCCAGGCCGGGCACACACGGCACAGCAACCAGAGCGCACTCTGCTCACAGATCCCAACGCAGCTTCCTCTGCTCCCGGGTGACGAGTGTGTTCGGGGAGGGGACAAGGCAGGAAACGGGGTTTATGCGGGAAAGGAAGAGAACAGAGAGAGACCACTCAGCGGGGCAGGGCAGGGTGTGCTGCGGGGAGGCCCAGCCTCAGCTCTGGCGCTGGCGCTGTCTGGTGGAGCCACCACACCAGCACCTGCAGCCTGGTTGTGTATCCCGGCTGGCTGCTGGCGGGCAGGGAGGGCGTGGAAATGTAGGCGCCACAGTCAGCCATCTGAGTGTGAAACACTGGGTGCCTTTTACTCAGGAGTGAAGCTTGGAGAGGAACCTGATGTGGCCAGGTCTGCGTAGCCGAGTCTGGGTGAAGGCCAAGCAAGGGGGGGGGGTGGGGGGGCAGAAAGCACGGCCTAGAGGCATTTCTGACCGGAGCAGCGGGGTGCCCAGCTGATTCAGCTTGGAGCCTGGAAGGCCAAGCCACCTGGGGCAGGGGTTCTTTTCCCACCTGTCTGTTCTTGGGGCACCCACACTGCTCCCCTGGGCTGAGCTGAGCTGCAACTGGAGGGCAGAGCAGACAGCAGGGCCCTCACCACCAACCCGGGGGCTTAACTGGCTCCGTTAGGGCACACAGAAGGCCCTGGGGCAGATCAGCCCCTCTGATGCCTAGGCCACATCTGAAATCACTGTCTGTGGTCAGCTGTGCTTCCAACCTCCACGGGGGAGGAGGTTCCAGCAGGCCCTCCCAGGGCCAGGCCACTGTGTGGCTCTGAACAAGTTGCTCAATCTCTCTGTGCCTCCCTGTCCGCATCTGCAGGGTAGGGAGGCAAGAGCAGGGCGGGCCACTCCACCTCCCCTGTGCCTGGGTTGGGCTACCCACCCTCCCACCCTGAGGTTGGGTATTGGCCCAGACCTGGCCGTGTGGGTACTAGAAATGCCTCCGTCTCGGCAGATGGCTGTGAGTCTTACCTGACGCTGAGTTCACGCTGTGGCAGCAGCAAAGGGAGACACAAGGGAACGGGGCACACATCAGTGACCACAGCAGGCAGCCCGACTGCCCGCACCCAGGAGTGGACATGCAGCAGCACCGTGGGCGGGCAGTCCAGGTGGCTAGCAGCCTGAGACCACGCCAGGACCCCAGTTCAAGGCTGGGCAGCCTGAGCAGGGCCCCTGGGTTCCTGCTGCCCACTGCAGAGTGCTGAGGCCTGGCTCAGGAATGCAGAGCACATCGGGCCTACAGTAGGCACTGGGTCTGTGTGGAAACGCACAGTCCTGCGCCAGTGGGACGCTGGCTTCCCTATCACCCTGAAGGCCTAGAGGGATAGGAGTGTGCCCTTCTATGTGGGGCCTGAGCACCTGTGGCCTCTGCCTTCCTCAGGGAGTGTCCTCAGCCCAGTGCAGAGGGCTGGCAGCTGGGCCGGGGGTCAGGCTGCTAGGCAGGGTGGAGCGTGGGGCAGCCAGCAGGGGACCGTGCACACGGCAGGTGAGCAGGCTGCCACAGAGGTGGCGCAGCAGCATGGGCCGGGCCGGCACTCACCTCCTCCAACTGGCTGTGCACGTGCTGCACAATGAGGTCGATGGCCACTGTGTTCCCGCTCCCTGGAACGCAGAGGGCGCATCAGGCCTGCCCACCGCCCACCGCGTTCCCGCTCCCTGGGACGTAGAGGAGGGTGTGTCGGGCCTGCCCACCAGGCCCCACGTGGCTGGCGGTGGGAGGCCCGCTCACCCCTGGGCACCACGATGTCGGCCAGGCGCATGGTGGGCTGGATGTACTGCTCGAAGGCCGGCTTGACGAACTTGTTGTACTGCTTGATGACGCCCTCGATGTCGCGGCCCCGCTCGCTAATGTCCCGCCGCAGCCGCCGCACCAGACGGATGTCGGAGTCCGTGTCCACGAAGATCTTCATGTCCAGGAGCTGGACGGGCAGTGGGCCAGCGAGGGGTCGCCACAGCACCAGGGTGGCGAGGTGGGGCCGGCGGGGGGCCCC